TTTGGATGCCTTTGATTTCCCTTTCTTGCCTTATGGCCCTGGCTAGGACTTCCAGTACAATGTTGAATAGAAGTGGTGATAGCGGGCATCCTTGTCTGGTCCCTGTTCAGCTCTTTTATCTTATTATTTCTTCCATTTGCTTTAGAAAGGGCAAGGGCAAGTTTTAGACTCTCTTCCGACATCCATTTTGGTCTTTTCTTCCTTTCCTGTCTTTCTAATGACCTTTTGCTTTTTATGCCCACAAAGAAGCCTAGTTAATACTATTATACAAATTTACTTCCCAACCACTAAAGCCAAAGATGAAGAGATTAAAGATTTTTACCAACTTCTGCAGTCTGAAATTGACTAAACATGCAATCAAGATGTGTTGATTATTACTGGTATTTGAATATAAAATTTGCAAAGAATTCACCAGATGAAATACACAGGAATCAAACTGACTACATCAGCCAAAACAAGGCCAGGAGTTGACTGTGGAACAAACCATCAATTGCTCATAAGTAAGTTGAAGTTGAAGTTGAAGACAATTAAAACAAGTCCATGAGAGCCAAAATATGACCTTGATCATAACCTGCCTGAACTTAGAGATCATCTGAAAAATAGATTTGATGCATTGAACACCAATGACTGAAAATCAGAAAAATCATGGGATGACATCAAGAACATCATCCATGAAGAAAGCAAAAGGTCATTAAAAAGACAGGAAAGGAAGAAAAAACCACAATGGATGTCAGAAGAGGCTCTGAAACTTGCTTATAGATCAATGGACAATATATAATACAGGAAAATTATGGATAACAGGTAATAGATTGAGGGTTTTTTTTTTTTTTTGCTGGAATCACTTCCTCTGCAACATCTTTATCCTTTTTCATCACAACAATTTTCCTGATTTATATTAATTTTGACTTCACTATGCTTTTCAGGTTCCATATGTAGAATATCGCAACTGGTAGCAGTGCCAACATTCCCATGGGCAGCTATTTTTTCTGTGACATAATTTATGTTCAAAAGTCCAAAATTTCTCACCAGGCTAAGATCAAAGTGTTGGCAGGGCTGTGTTCCTCATGGAGGCTCCAGGAGACAGCCCCTTCCTTGCCTTTTCCAGCTCCTAGAGGCGGTCTGCACTTCTTGTTCACGGCCCCTTCCAACATCAAAGCCAACAGCGTAGCATCATTGAATCTCGGTTTCTGACCCTCTTGCCTCCCTCTTACAAGGACCCTTGTGATTACATCGGAACCCCAGAGAATCTGGCATAATCTCTGCATCTCACATCTGCAAAATATTTAACAAACAACCGGGCACCACAATTTGGCCAAGTTGACACATAAAGTTAAGCATCACACATGGTAACTGAAATTGGAATTGTCTTGTTGGGGACTGGTGTTACTTAACTAAAACAAGGTAATTGGAATTTGTGCACATCTGAATCATGGAACTTGAGGACTGCTTGTTTTAATTCCAGATGATAGGTCAAAAAAGATGAGAAAATGCATGTGACTACACATGCAGGGCCACAGCTGCAGAAAATGAGGTGGAAATAACCTGTATGTTGTCCTTCAGATTTGCAGCACACTCACATACTGAGTTTCCTCTTGTGCTAGATCTCAAGTGCCCCAAATACTGACATCACTACAGCTCTTCTCTTTGAGAAGAACGATAATAGTGAATATGGTAAAAACTCACAGAATGATGTTATAATTTCCCTCCTACCTGTTATCTGCCCAACAAAAAAACAAGAAACAGAACAAAAAGCTATGTGCTGAGTGTCTTGTGCACTAATACTCAACTACTGACAGTATATTACACTTTATTTATAAAGCAAGTCTTTTCTTTATTCTAATTAATAAACATAAGAGTTCTTCTGATAACGGATTATGAATAAGATATGTACCTTCTATGTGCTCAGACATTTTTCAGCAATTTGCAGAATAAATAGGCAGTGTATGTTTCTGATACTCTAAGACCAAACACAATAAAAATAAAGAAAAAAAATGAACTGTTAATGTTGATTTTCTCAGAAATTCATTTTATTTCAACAGTAAAAAGATCAGTTTCCACCTGTGACCAGGATTATAAAGCACAATCTTTTCAGCATGGGTGTTCTTGTCATGCCGCAAATATAAATAGACAAACCATGGACTGATAACAGGGGCTTTCTTTCTCTGGCTGTATATATTAAACTGCAATTAAAACCTCTGATCTTACAGAAATTTTATCTTATAAAAGCTTATTTTATAAAATAAAATCATCTTATTATGATAAAAAGCTTATTTTATGATATGTATTACAAATGCATTCACTGTATGAACTGGGAAGGGAAAAGTAAAAAGAAACAACAGCATTTCATGAATATTCATCCTGAGATTCCATCATTTCAAATCTTACCATTTCATAGGATTCATAATTTATTAGCCAGTGCTATTTAAAAATACTACTTCAGTAGTTTTAAATTGACATTGGAGAAAAATCACATAATGCCTGGCCCTTGTGGAGTTAGTCAAACAAAATTCTTACTGCCTATGGCTCCTGTTGGTGTTTATATGTTGGGTGTCAGAATCCTGGTGGAGAGGTAGATATGGGCCTAAAAATGCCCTGGGGCAGCAGCTCTATTTTCTTCATGTTCAACCCTGACAGGTGAGGACTCAAAGTGCTAAGTGCGTATTTCAAGCTTGTGTTCTCAGCGTACTTAAAGCCACAGTCAACTACAAAAGGTAATTTCCCAGATACTCTTTCAGAATGAGTATAATCACTAAACTTGATATTTTGCCTCAAGAAAAATAAAAGTTTTTTTTTAACACTACAGAGAGTGGACCCCGACACATATTTTGAAATTATCATTTTAAAATTAACATCCTAAATCCATCAAGATTTGATGGTTTTTGTTTTCACAAAGTACATTAAAGGATGGTCTCTATTCTTTCCATGGGACTATACCCACCAGCTTCCCTGGGAAGACTGACTCAAGGGCGCAATTATACATCAAAGTCCTTCAGCTCTCCCCAGCTGGCACCTATTTTTACTTTCACTTTCAGTTTCACAGAAAGTTTGATGGCACTTTCCATTTCAGACTTGACAATCTGAGCTACCTACAAAATAATAACAATAAGGTTAACAAACCCTCTGTCCAATCAAAGAAGAATGCTTCCCAACCCACCCACTGAGAAGGTCACAAACCAGACTGGAGCTTGTCACCTCATCATACTTAAAATCAGAAGAGAGCCAGAGATCCCAAATTCTGGTCTTTATTGATGGGCAGGAGTTTCTTACAGTTTTAGCTAGAATGCTCAGAGCATTGAAAGTCTTAGGTCATAATTCCCAATTCCCATCTAACTTCTCCCAGGCAAAAGTATCTCTGGCATCAGCGATTTCTTTAGTTTAAGGATGAGCATGGAACTCTTAGCTCCTCTCTACCTGTAAAGACTCAAGAGTCATATAACCACCCTGGGGCTAGGGTAGGGTTCTACAAGCTTCATGCATGGGATAAAAAGCTGTTTGCTTGGCTCACAATGTTTTAGCTTCCTATGGAATGGACACACACTGCAACAATACCTGAACAACATCCTCTTCTGCCACTTCATATAAGAGTTCATCATGAAGTTGAAGGATGAAGAAGCCTCCTCGGATTGGGCAGAACATCCCCTGCAGTCTTCTCTTTGGTAACAATCCTACCGCACAGAAAAGTAGCAAAACTGATCAGTAGGTCACTCTTGCGCAGGAGTTTTTAGGGATTCTGAGAAACTCTGGTACATTTTAACTTTGAGATTAAACACATAATAATAATAACACAAAATAACTATTTACTTGCTGCTACAAAGCCTATCCATCAGGACTCAAATCCTCATCAATTTCCTCCCATAAAGGAGTCAGTAAATGGAGTGTAAAGAATTCTGCTCCAAACTCTAGCCTATTTGATGCCTCAAAAGTCGCCAGCATCTTACCTTCTCTTTCTATGCAGTCCCCCTACCTCTGTCTGAGTAATAGCAGAGGGGTACCATAGGGCCTGATTCTCAGTCCAGGAAAGTGGCCCAGCCAAGTTGACATATAACCTTAACTAAAGTATGTCATTAGACATATTTTACAAGGGGGACTCTTGCTGCTGTTGTTTTATTATGAGAAGTGTTGGTGCAATTTTGTGTTTCCCCAATTGGACCATTCACTCAAAACAAGTAATTCTAAATCTAGGTTCCAAAATGAAGATGCTAGAGAGTGAATTCCTTGAAAGTATATGTAAGAGTGTATGTGTGCACATTTTTCCTGTGGAGATGATCCATGCCTTCAGTAAATTCTTAACAGAACCACTGTAACGTACACCATTTCCTAACCAGCTGGACCTAGTGGACAGATTATGCCTGTTTTGGTGACTTTGTGGTGCTCTTGACAGAAAATACCACAAATGGGTGACTTTAACAAATAGGAGTTTATTCTCTTACAGTTTTGGAGGCTAGAAATACGAGTTCAAAGTTCCAGGCTCTCAGGGTTGGATGAAAGCCCCTCAACCTTGGGCTTCAGCTCTACCTCCTGCTCCCAGCCAACTGAAGCTGGAGGCTTGTCTTAACTCAGGCAGCTGCTGGCTGCTGAGGCTGGCAAACCCAAGGTTGACAAGTAAAAAAGCACAGTCCCAATATTATCAAACAACATGGCAGGCCACTAGTTCAAGTCTAGAAAAAGTCCCAAGACAGGCAGGGCATGGCAGGCTGCTGAATGAAGACTCTGCTACATATAGGGTCCAAGTGTGCCAAAAAGCTGCAGAACATTCCCAAAGCTTCTTCTTATATATGGGAAGCAGACCACATCCCTACAGCAGCTATTCAGCTCTTCACAGTAGATTCCACCATGGAGCTGATTGCCAGTCACATCTTGGGTAATAACAACCACCAGCTGCCCAGCCACTCAATGAGGCCAATCCAAGTTGACACATAACATTAACTACCACAATGCCCCTCTGATCACTAAGATAGAGTTCAACCTGAATGATAAAGTTCAAGCCAGTTTTGAGTGTCTTTTTTTAACTTGTTTACCCCTGACTCATAGCAGTTCTTCTTTTCTGCCCTCCAATCTCCTTACCTACCCTTCAGATCCACCGTGAGTATTAGCTCACTCAGTATCTGGTGCTTCCCTCAGAGAGAAGTGTTTTAACTGTCACTGAATGAAGCCCATGTTGGCTCAGATCTGGCTTTCACAAGGTAAGAGAATAAAGACAGCTGAGGCTGGGGCAAGCTGTGTTCAAACAGGGCTGCAAAGGCTGTACATCCTTGGCTGAGATATGCCCCACTGGTCCCACTTAGCTCACCTCATTGACGGTTTGAATGCTCTAGGTTTTCTGCCTTCTGATTATCACGCTTTGGGCCTTTGAGTCCCTTGGGGACCTAGATTCGGGCCCAGAATGCCTTGATCCTCCTGTTCCTTGTGTGGTTTGCTTCCTCAGGTCTACCTCCCTTTAGTCCCACTGATCTGCTGCTACTTTTAACCTGGCATGACACCATGAAATCACCCTCAATGATGGATCTGAATCACCCTCAACTCACTCTTAAGATGGTTACTGTCTGTATCGTCATTTTGACACTGCATCACGCTGCTGTGAAAATTTAGGTAAATATTTCAGAGTCAGGTATCATATTTTCCCTTTTTTTCCTTAGCAGATGTTAAATTTAAACATTGGTTGATGTTTTTACTGCTAAATCCACCAAAGTACACAGCACAATGCTATTCCCTAAGTAAGTTTGATCATACACACTCTCTCTCTAAATATAAGTACATATGTGTATATACATATACACACATAATCCCACATAAAAAATGTTGAACAAAGTTAAATCAAAACTATTGCCATTAATTTGCTTCCAACTCATAGCGACCCTATGTGTTCTCAAATATTTCTTTTCAGGATTGAAGACAATATAATTAGCAATCGTTATTTAACAGACAAATAGGCTTTTGTATCTATGCATTTTTGTGTATGAGTGAACATCTTTATATCCCTGTAACTAGCTGTTATTCTCTAACTAGTTAATTCTCTAACCTATATGTATACGTCTCCTGGAAAAAACAAACCCCGTACCCAATAGCTGATATCTACCTTTTCTGCCCCATTTCTAGCTGTTTATTCTCTTTTATGCCTCAAACCTTCCTAACTCTTCCCTGTAAAATTTAAAATATGCTGTAGTCAGGGTCTGACAACAATTATCAGTGACAGTGAAACAGTTTTTAGAGAGGAAGTTAGGACGTTTGATGGACAGGGGAGAAGGGAAATCTCTGTGCACTTGTTAGGACAAGAAATGATCTATCCAAGCAAGACAACTTAGGAAAAAAATATTTATGAAAGAAAGAACAGAAAAAAGGATGGCAAAGTAATGTTGGTGACAAGGAGGTCAACTTAGAGTTTATTCCCTGACTTCAGAGAACACTGTGGATCATGAACAGAAAAAATCGACATGTTAGAACAGAGTTCCTTAAAGTGTAGTCTGAAGATCACAGAGGATCCCTGAAGCCCTTTCAAGGCATCTACAAAACTATTCTCGTAATAGAACTATGAGGTTATTTTCCCATTTTACTCTCATTCTCTTGTAAGCGTGCATTACGGTGACCAACTGTTTTAGATTTAGCACTAAAAGTCCCACATCCCACATGACTGATCCTCAGTCCCTGGACAGTTATTACCCTGGAGTGTATGGGCCTTTTTTTTTTTTCCCCAGAAGTTATAGGGTGTATATTATCACAAGACGTTGAATGAAGAAACATATAAGAGAATTAAGCTGTCTTCTTCTAAGCCAGACATTAAAGAAATTTGCAAAAATAAAAAGCAAAGCCACTCTTACCACTAATTTTCTTTTGTTTTGGAAACTGTATTTTCATAACAATGTATTATTTATGGTAAAACATAATGTGTTTATTATTATTTTTAAATATAAATAATATTTTTAAGTTCTCTCCATTTTAATTTTGAATATGATCAGTTTAGTAGATATAACTCACATGAACAGAAGCTCTTTGGAATTCTCAATAATTTTATAGAGTGTAAAGACACCATGAAACCAAAACTTTTGAGAATGGCTGTGTTAGAGAAATAAAATACAAAATATTTTTTGGAGACAATTATTTTTCACTATGTTAAAGTGGGGGTCTCATTGGTGAACAAACCTCTTCTGTCACTCTGGAGCATTCCTTCCCGATGGCCATGGGATTTGAAGGTTGAGTGGAAGGTCTCCAACTTCTTTTGAATGTTAACTGTGGCTATTTTGACAATATCAGCAGCCGATCCTTGGACTGTTGTGTTGATAGCCTGACGCTCAGCCTATGAAAAACAATAACAGGTATTCCATCAGGACATGGATATGGTTTCATAACTGCTCTTAGTGTCCACAGAGCAGTGCTTACATGTGTACCCAGAATGGAGCTCTGGACCAAGACTTCTCCATGACTTCCACAATTAGGCTGCATCCTAAGAATAAAAACAATAATAATCTGGAACTCTAGGCTCTGAGCCACATACATGAAGACAGACTAAATATACGAAGGTCAATTTAGAAATATTAAACACTCAGTTAGGAACCAAAAACTGCATTGCAATTAGAATGTATTTAGTAGCTCAAAATTATGTTACAAACATCTACTATTAGTGTTCTAGCTGTTGTAAACTTCACTGTAAAGGATCCATTCTTCAAAATACTAATCCTACATAGATGTAAGTAGAGTAGCATTCTTTGTGACATGAGCTAGAATGTTTCAAGCATACCCCCCTACCAATGGCCTATTGGTACCAGGTAGAGTTTGGCCCCAGCAGGCCTTAAGCCCTCTGTTATATATCAAAACCTTTTCTGGACTGCCAGAGCTAGTCATTGCTGGTAGTTAAAATCTTGATCCCAGATCCCTGGGTATTAAGTTAGAACTTCCCTGTAACCTTTGCTGCCACGAGCTTCTTGGCAGACAACCATGGCTGCTAAAAGTAATCCACCTGGCAGAGTGGGAGAATAGCTGTGGGGGCCTAGATTAAAATACAAGGTATGACCTATGAATATCACTTCTGGTGCCCAAAAATTCCTAAGAAAATGGAAAGAGTCTACTCAAGGGAGGGTTCTATGCAATTTGAGGAGTGTTCTCGGGTTCTCTGTCACCTAGGCTACACCCAACTTCTAGTCCATTAAATACCTGATAAAGAGATAGTCTTTTCATTAACTGTTGCTTTGTTGAATGCTGATGACTTCTAAACTCACTCTGCTGTCTGTTTAAGCAGTGACTGAATTTCAGAGTTGTACTGATCGTATTTCTTTGTGTAGTAGATTGCATTATTGTTCCTATTGTTGCCTTTTTCTGGGAAATAATGTAGACCCACCCATTACCATGTGATATGAAATGTTGGTCTTTGTAAAAGGATGACCTTGATTTGCTTTGGTTAATGACATGTTAGTAAAACTGATATAGAGCGAGGTCTTCAAACAGTTTGAACCAGTTCAGACAGGCTGAAAAAGTGAAACTGGAATAGACTCCAATTTTTTTTTTAATTAGGGTGACATGGAATGATAATGGGGACTGGAAAAATTATGGGTCAAAGCTCTGGCATGGGAGACTCAGAAGAGGTGTAATGAGCCCTTCAAGGAGCCTGATGTGTAAGATTAGATTATTGGCAGAACTGTGGACAGTGACACACACTCATAATGACATGGTCGGTCACCATCTTAGTTTCGACCCTGCTCCAAATCTGTCAGCAAGAGATTTGGTTTCTGTGCAATGCATCCATTACCCTTGTTTTCTAAGAGGGATGTTAAGTTCCTAGTAGGGCTACCACTTGTAATTTTCTCATTCTGGTTATCTTTTTGTTCACCCAAAATTTAAAAATCCAGGTCTGTCCAGGTTTCACTTTCTCAGCCATGACTGAGCTGGATAACCAGTTTGAAGACCTGTATACAGTCCATCTAAGAAGTTTTATCCAACACTGCCACAAAAAAGGTATACCCCAGATGGGGCTTTTCCTTCATTCTGAAATCCATTATGAAGGCAATATGTAAGAGATTCACAGTCAACCTGGAACCAAACTGTAACATGAGTGAGAAATGAAGCTTCTTATCATATACCATTGAAATTCTGGGGTTGTTTTGACTGTGACATAAGCAAGCAAAAATATTACTAATAGAAAATTCATTCTCATGATATTGTACTTCCTTGATTGTCTTCCATGTTAGGAAAGCATGGGCAGTTTTGCTTTATGTCTCATAAAGCAAAGCCCATTGGTCATCAGGACTATCTCTTTTATGTGAAAAGGTTATAATGGCTTCTAGTAATGGAAGACTAGGCCATTAGGAGTAACTCTTCCACTGACAACAACTGGAAAAGCTGGACAGTAAATAAAAATGCCTCTTTGAATGAATCAGACAGCTAAAAAGGAAGGAAAGGATGTTAAGACCTAAGAGATATCAAAGAGAGAAAGGAAAACAAGGGAGGTGACCCTGGCACTGATACAGCCATTTCTCCCAAAGGAAATCAAGAGATTCCAGACGAGGCAGCTGAGAGGCTCAGAAGCTGAGCTCAGTTTCTGAAGGCCTTGAGAGGTCTGGGGAACAAACATTTGGGTTCAGGGCCAAAAAGACTATCAAACCATGCCTCTTAAACCATGAGATTTTGACTCATAAACCAATACCCTAGGAAAAAAAGATAAACTGGAAATAGACTGGTCCTAACAGTCTTGCTTTAAATCATCTCTACCCCTGATCCTATTTGATGGCCATTCTAGTCCCTCACCAAAAGAAAATGCAAATCTTCTTTGAATAAAAGCAGTATTATATAGGTTTCAGATTATTTCCACAATCAGATATATACAATGTTTGACACACAATGAAAAAATAATAAGCAAGACAACAAGGAATTAAGACAATATAACTGTCTTTGTAGAAAACTAAAAAAAATAAAAGACAAAAAGTCATAGTGATGCAAAACACAAGGTTATTCTGACTATGGGCTTTTATCAATCTTATTAAACTATAAAATAACTACGCTTAATAAATTCAAGAAAATAAAAGACAAAATTGAGTATTTCAGCAGAGAACTAAATATTCTAAAATACAAAATGGAAACCCTAAGACTGAAAAATAAAAACAGAATTTAAAAACCTAATGATTAGTTGTAATAGCAAAGTAAAGACCAAATCAGCAAACTGGAACACAACTTAGAAGAAAATATTCAGAATAAAGAAATAATAACATGGAAAATACAGATGGGAGTATATGAAATATAAGGGATATGAAGAAAGAGGTTATAAATTTATAATCAGAGTCCCAAGAGAGGAGAATGTAACAAAGCAATAGCTAAGAATGTAACAAAGAGTAATAGCTAAGAATTTTCCCAAGTCAACAAAAGACATCAAACCACAGATTCAAGAAGTCTAAATACCCTCAAGAAAAATCAATTAAACACATACTTAGGCACATCACAGAAAATCTGCTGGAAACTAGACAGAAAGAAAAATACTGTATTGAAAACAGAGAAAAAGAGTAAATTACATGGAAAGGAGCAACAATTAGACCAAAGGTCAGCAAACTACAGCCTGTGGGCCAAATCCAGCACTCCTCCAGTTTCTCTAAATAAAGTTTTATTAGAAAACGACCATACTCTCATATGCACATATTTCTATGACTGTTTTTGCACTATAACATCAGAGTTGAATAATTGTGACAGTGGCCCAGGGTCCCATAAGCAGGAATTATTTAACTCGGATTTTTCACCAAAAAAGTAAGTGGAATCTTGAATTGACTTCTCAACTGAAATAATACCAATCAGAGGTCAACATGCTAAAATCTTCAAAGGTGCTGCAAGAAAATAACTGGCACCCTAGAATTCTAGAGTAAATAACCTTGAAGTTATATATTCAGGGGGAAAAAAAAAAAAAACAGCTAAAAAATATTCATCAGCAGCAGAGTTGTAATACAGAAAATACTGAAGTAAACCTTTCAGACAGAAGAAAATAATACTAGATGGGTGGCCAGAAACACAGAAAGCAATAATGAGAAATGAAAACGGTTTCTAAGGTAACGCCTAGAAAGAAAGTAAATACAGAAATGGTCCGACATGTAAAAGGCAAATAGTAAGGAGGGAGATTCAAATCCAAAAATAGCAGTTATTACCTCAAATGTAAAAAGACTAAACGAAAGACCCTGAAAGACAAAAGATTTTAAGACTGAAGGAAAAACAGACCAACTATATGCAGCTTACATGTACCAAATATAAAAGATAAGGTTGTAGAAAAGTTGAAAGCAAAATATGTAAAAAGATGTATTATATAAACAATAACAAAAAGAACTGGTGTTAAATATATTAACAACAAAGTGTACTTTAAGAAACATTATCAGAGATAAAGAAGGAACTGCTTCATAATGAGTAAGAGTTCAATTTACCAAAAAGACATACTAGTTATAAATTTTTACACCCAGGAAAGGGGGGTACATTGTTTAGGGGACACTGAGCTGCTGTTAAGGGAGAAGGAAAAATCTGAAAACAAATAGTGGTAATTGTTGAACAACATGAGATGAATTTAATTGTTCAGTTGTAGATATTGTACATATAAAAATATTGAGATGTCAACTATTTTGTTACATATATATATTTACCACAATGAAAAAAATGATATATTCATAATAGCCTCAAAGTACAACAATCAAAATTTGATAAAATTATGAGGAAGAACAGTCACAGGAAGAGAATTTTTAACACACTTCTCTCAACAGGTGATAGAAATAGCCAAAAAAAAGAGTAAAGGTAAAGAATATTAAAACATAATTAACTAATATAATTATGTATAAAGCAACAACAAAAAACAACTGCAGATTGCCATCCTAATGGATCTTGAAACCATCACGATACTTCCATTGTTATCTTATCGATTAAAGTAATAGCAGCAACAACAAAAAAAAGCAGTTGCTGTCAAGTCTACGCCTACTGACAGTGACCTAATGTGTGTCAGGGTATAACCGCACTCCATGGAGTTTAAATGGCCATGATCTTTCAGAAGCAGATCATCAGGACTTTCTTCTGAGGTATCTCTGGGTGGATTTGAATAGCCAACATACAATAGCTGAAGGCTTAACCATTAGTGCCACCCAAGGACTCCAACCTGATATAAGAACTAATAAAAACCTAAAGCAAAGTTCTACTTATTGGTAAAATGTTTGAAACTTTTCTTCCAAGACCTGAAAAGAGGCAAAGATGCTTACTATCACTACTTCAACTCCACATTGAACTAGAGGTCCCAGCCAGGGAGGGAGGAAGGGAGGGAGGGAGGGAGGGAAGGAAGGAAGGAAGGAAGGA